GCAGTATCCAGCCTGTGCACGTCCCTCTCTCTCTCTCTCTCTCTCTCTCTCTCTCTCTCTCTCTCTCTCTCTCTCTCTCTCTCTCTCTCTCTCTCTCTCAAATCAGTCTCAGCCCGGTCCTCTCTGGCTTTCTGAAAGGGCCGGAAAATAGTCAAAAAAATCGAAAAAATCCCAAAACATTTTTTTTGGGGGGTGGCCCATGAACGAACCAAAAGAAAAATATAAGTAAAAATACATAAATTCCGGACCTACCGGACAGGACGTCCGCCCGGACATCCAGATGTGGATGGTCCGGAATGGGATCCAGACGTCCGGACGGTAACCATGGCAACAACTGCCTACGGTGAAATTTATCGACGGCGGCCCAGCCACAGAAGTTGCGGCCATTAACGAGGCGCATATCTGAAAAATAGCTGGGAAAGGCACTGGTGATTTAAACCACCGGTACGTTTCCCAGCTATAGCGATAGCGAGGAAGCCACGACGTTTCTGCATGGATGGATTCACCCGCCCCCCAAAAGCCGCCGGCGTAAGCCTCAGCTTTTCTTCCCGATAGCTCCCTCTCATTTGCTGGTTCCTGATAGTTCATCGCCTGTACCGCTAGGTCTTGCCGCCTCTTCTTCTACGTCGTTCAGTGCTAGTTCCTGAGCATTTGTCTTGCCAGTGGGAACACTAACAGCTGTTGGCTGGTATTGGTTAGGCTCATATTTTGCCTATTGAATGTTGTGTTTGCCGGAGGGGAGGCTAGGAGTTGCTCATGAAATGTGAGGCCGGCGTTTTGCTCATGTACCTCATTCTTTTCACAGATCATCTTCATCTTCATCTTCATCTTCATCCCTATTATCAGTAGTTTCTTTCTTTTTTTTTTTTTTTTTTTTTTTTTTTTTTTTTTTTTTTTTTTTTTTTTTTTTTTAAAGCGGAACGTTCAAGGTTGCAAAGTTACAATCTTTTTTTCAATTTTTAATATTTTTTTATAGATAAGAATGGTTTACAGCAACTGTTGCCATAACAGCAAACAGACAGCACTGACCTTGATTTGATGAACTGAAGCTGGATCAGGTCCGGTGCCATGGTTACCCTACCTACCCTCCGGGTTGTTTGTTGAGGATTCCCGGCCTCAGAGTTACTTTCTGGTTTGAAATTTGAATAAAGGATCCTCTTCTTTTTCCTGAAAAAAAAAGAAAAAAAAAGATACAATCGTGGAAGTTGAAAGTGTGTCCTGGGGCGAGGTCCCCTAGCAACGGGATAGGATAGAAACGAGTTTGTGGGGCAGTTGAATAACCCAAATCGTGCCGTGCGGTACTCGTGATCCCACGGTCAGTATTTTACATGCATTACCCGAAAAAGCAAGGAGATCTTGGTTCCCCTCCTCCTCTCCTTGACACTGGGCATGCCCGTGCAAAGAAAGCTTCCCGCCAGAATCTTTTCAATCGGTTGGCGGTGTGGCCAACCCCAAAGGAGGGTGGGGTTGGCCTTAGGCCCACTGGATAGAAGATTTTCAGTATTTTGCTTGCTTGCTGTTGTGCAATTATCTCATTGGGTCGGTGGAGCCCTCCTTCAATCACGGAGTATATATATATGGAGGGTATCAGGATCACTGCTGACACAATTCAAGTTTATTCCAGAAAATGTGGCGGTTACTGTTGTTGCAACCACCACCATCATATCATTTGTGATCTGATGGCTCGGAAGCACTCTGCCGTGATTTTTTATTTTTATTTTTTCCCCCCCCGGTGTGAGGTCTCTGTTTCTCTTTTTTTTTTTGGCCTTTCTTCTGTTTTCTCAGCCCAGAAATTCGTAATGAACCTGTCAGCCCGCTGCCACTCAGTGTCACACTGGATCGGCCACGCTCCTATCCTACTGTTAATGGGACCTCGCCCCTGGAATGTTTTGATTGGGACTCTGGACCCAGTTTCCAGCAGGCGCTGCTCCCCACCAATAGATTGGAGCATTCCATACGGGAAAAAAAAAGGAAAAAAAAAAAAAAAGAAAAAAAAAAGCCATCATCAAAATCTTGAATCTTCAGATTGTAGTTTCATGAGGGACGCTGGGCCCGGGGCCAAGTCCCACTAGCAGCGTTGAGCTACCTCAACGCCTGAATCTGGACGCTTTTGCGGAGATGTGCAGAAATGGTGTTGAGTTTCCTGAACTGCACGTCTCCACAAACACGCCCAGATTCAGGCGTTGAGGTAGCTCAACGCTGCTAGTGGGACTTGGCCCCCGGTTCCCAGCACGTGCTGCTCCCCACGAAATAGATGGGAGCTTTTATTGGGGCAAAAAAAAAAAAAAAAAAAAAAAAACAGCTCCTGAGCATTTGCTGGTTGCAGTTAACACATAGAGGAAGCAGTGATCTTGAACCGACCTGAATGACGGAACGAAGCTTGGTTGATTCCTTCCGAGTTACTCATCCCACAGATCCAGGCTTCACCTGGTTCTCGGCGCAGAGGACGAGGGACAGCCCTCCGCCCAAGCGGAGGCTTGACCTAATGCTGACCAAGGGAGCTGCATGGGACGCCCTGGCCTCGGTCAACTGCGTGATCGAAACGCTGTCAGACCATCGTCCCCTGGTGGCTGCCTTTGAACTTGCAAACCAACTGCAGAGGGGGCCAGGCACCTTCCGCCTGAACACGGAACTACTCAACCAACAAGGGATCCTGGACTGGACAACAGCACACTGGCGGGACTGGCAGCAAACCAAGGGGGATTTTGAAACGGAGGAACAGTGGCTGCAAATGGGTTTCAGGGTCACCACCAGAGCCCTCGATGTCTTTTCAAGAATCCAGGCCAGAGGAAGAAGGCAGCAGGAACAGAAATGCAGGGAGATGATTGCAGAAGCGGAGGCAGAATTAGAGATGCAACCATTGGCGGAACTTTACTGGCAGCACAGAAGGGACCGCTGGCTCCAGAAACTAGAGGATATGCAGGTGGAACAACACGTGATATGGGCCCAAAGAGCGCAGGAGAAGGGCCTTATAACAGCGGACCGCATGTCCAAAGAAACCTTTCAGCGCATATGGCCCCCAAGGCAGAACGCGCTGATAAGGGAGCTCCACCATCCTTTCTACGCCGAGGCGCCACCTGCAAAGGACTCCGACTCAATTGGAGAGTATGCACTGTGCTACTTCCAAGACATCCTCACCTCAATACGAGAACCAGACCTATCCCCGCAGCAACTTAAGGAGGAGCGTGATTTGTGGCAACACACGGCGGTGAGACTCCCGCCGGAAGGCTGCCTAAAGTTGGAGGAACCGTTCACGCTTGACGAACTGTGGTCTGCGGTCAAGAGTATGGCGCACGGTAAGAGCCCAAGATCAGATGGACTCCCTGTGGAGTTCTACGAAGCCACATGGGAATTTTTGGGCCCGGAGCTGCTGTCCCTATTCAATAGAATCCTGGCTGGAGGTAGCCTAACACACGATATGAAGAAGGGCATCACCACTCTGATCTACAAGAAGGGAGATAAATGCAACATACGGAATTGGAGACCCATATCCAGGCTGAACGTCTCGTACAAGATCCTGGCCAAATTGCTTGCCAGACGACTCAGCCCCTATTTGCCACTTTTAGTCCATACAGACGCTGAGAACATCATGATGGCTGTGGGCGCGCTGGAGGTCATTCAAAGTGAGAATAGACAGGTTTTGATTGCAATGCTGGATCTCAAGAAGGCGTATGACCGAGTCAATTGGTCTTTTGTGCTAGCGACCCTGGAGCATATGGGGTTTGGTCCAAGATTCCAGCAGATCGTTCGAGAGCTCTACATCGATGCGACAGCAACAGTTAATGTCAACGGCTTCCAGTCCGCCTCCTTTACACTGTCAAGATCTCTTCGCCAAGGCTGTCCGCTTGCCTCTCTTCTTTTCACACTGCAGATGGAGGTTCTCCTTAACTCGCTGAGGGCGTCGCCGCGGATACAAGGCCTGGACTTGGGGAATGGAGAGCAGATGAAGACAGGTGCCATCGCAGATGACCTACTACTTGTAGTCGAGGCGGTCCCGGAGTCAACACAAGAAGTCAAGACGCTGTTGGACAGCTACGCAACCTTGTCCGAGGCACAGGTCAATTGGGAGAAATCTGTCTACTTTCTCCCCGCAGATTATGAACTCTCTGGCCAGGACTGGGGTATGCGTAGAATCCCTTCAGACGTCTCGGAACGGTATCTAGGCGTTCAGGTCTCCCTATCGGACGCCAGACCCAACCAACAATCAATCCTTCGTGCTCGCACCAGAGCTTGTCTTCAGAAATGCAGAGCAGCAGTCGGGATCTCACTATTAGGGCGAGCAATCTTGATCACATCAGCCGTCTTTGCGCAGCTGTGTACATAGCGGCGGTCTGCCTTATAGCCAAGCCAACCACAAGAGCGCTGGCCAGGGACGCTGCACGCTATCTCTGGAAACCAGGAGCGGAAGAGGACCAGGGGTTCATCTCTAAATGTGCCTGGTCCAAAGTCTGCACAACCAAGCGGGAGGGAGGCTTGAGCATAGTGGATCCTAGAAGCCAGAACTTGGCCCTCATGATGAAGTGGCTGCTAAAGGTCACAACCCAAACTGAACGAAGATCTTGGCTAGTGATCCTGGAGTACATGCTGCAGCAAGAACTTTCGCTGACACGCAAGGAGGACATTTGGACATGTGTTTTTATGACCACCTATGCAAATAGGCAGTTGAGATCCCCGATGGCGAAAGCCTGTTGGTCTGCATGGAGACTCCTGATGCCTACACAAAGGAAGGTACCGGTAACCAAGGAAGAAGTCCTTCGGCAAAGCATCTTTGATAACGATATGATCATCAGCAGGCAGGGCACTCCCTTTCAAGCCACAGCTGCACCAGGTAACTTCGGGAGGAAATGGTGTGAAAGGGGAGTCGCAACAATCCGAGACTTGTGGAACGAAGATGAGGCACAGTGGTACACAGGGGACCAGCTAAAGGTAAAGCTCAAACGCCTTCAGCACGTTGCAGAGAGATGTGCACAGATCCAGCAGGCAATCCCCCCTCACTGGCACCAGCTACTGCAGTCAAAGGATCTCGTAGCAGGCGAATGGTATGCGCTGCCGCAGGACCAGGAACCCAAGCCAGTCTTCCGTACCATCCAACAGTTGGACGAGGACACGTGGCAAGCCCAGCACTGGAGCCGAGCAGAGGGAACCTCCCAACAAGACAGACTGCAACGCCAGGGAGAAGCGGCAATCTGCAGCGACCAGTTACCACAGCTAATCCGAGTCGACTCCAGCCAGATCAACGGGAGAACAACATATAATCTCCTGCTCAAGGGACAGCCCCTCATGGAGGCGAGGATCGACCCATTGGCTCAGTCCTGGGCAATGCGTCAGGGCCCTCCTATCCCCCTGGCTCGCTATACCACGAAGCTTGGAAGAAGACCACTTAGCCAAGTCAAAGCCTTGCCAGAAGCGGCAGCCTCAACTTTCAATCGGAAGATTCCAGATGTGCAACCAGTCACAGAGCAGGGCCTCAAAGCATTGTGGGCACAATTACCAATGCTGCCCTCACAGAAGCTTGCAGGGTTGGCATGGCTCCTCTCATCGAGAGGGGAATGGAGGTAGACACACAGTGCAGGCCGTGTGGGGGCAGGCAGGAAGAGTCCCTTGAACACCTTTTCTGGGAGTGCCCTGCCTCCAAACGCATCTGGCAGTGGTGGGAACGACACTGGCTCAACTTCGTGGGGAATCTGCTCCAATGGGACAAGGCCTGGGTTCTCCATGGATGCATCCCCAGTACCTGGTTCCAGCGAACTGGAAGAGGCTATGTTGCCCAAATGATCCGCACCATTATTATTTGGATTATCTGGGAAGATCGCAACAAAAATAAAAGAAGATGAACCTTTTTTTTGGTTTACCACCAACCTTCTTCCCCCCAATACAACGTGCGGTCATGATAGCAGTACTGTATCTGGACTGAAAGACACCCCAAATACAGCTATTCGGGAGAAGAAGGGAGTACAAAAAACTGTAGTAGCCTTGGGAACCATTTGAACTCTCAGAGCATACTCACAGTGGGACTTTTCCAGATGCATCCGACCTGCATTTACCACAGCCAGACACGGATGTTCCTGACTGCATTTACGTCCAGAAACCTGGCAAAAAAGTCCGACGGTGAGTACGCCCTCAATTTGTTCATCGAGGGAAAACTCACACCACATACTAAGGATCTTTTAAATTTTTTCCCTCAAAAAAATCCCAGGAAAAACAAAAACAACAACAAAAAAAAAAAAACAGAAAAATGTTTGGTGGACGTGTAAACATGGGCTCAGTGGTATACCCGCCAAGGGAAAAAAACGTTTGGTGGAGACTCTGGAGAGGAGGTGCATATTTCCTGTTATAGAAAGTATTTAATGCTGCTGTCGCAGGGGTGTGTGGAGCCGCCCATTTCCAGTCATTACTTTTTCTTTTTTTTTTTTTTTTTTTTGGGGGGGGTGGTTTCAGCCGCCCATTTCCAGTCATTACTTTTTGCTTTGTTGGGGAAAATCATTTCTTTTTTTTTCTTTTTTTTTTGTGGAAAATCATTACTAACACAACACCGGCTTTTATTTGGGAAAAAATAAAAAATAAAAATGGGTTGGGTGGGAAGAGCAGACCTGTCACACTGTTCCAAGTTTTTTTTTTTTTCTTTTTTTTAAACTGTTCCAAGTTTTCAGAAGGACCAATCTGATTTGCTTCTTTCTTTCTACGGCTGATAGCTGGGGCTTGTACTGGTGGTTTAAAAAAAAAAAAGGACTAATTAAAAAAAAAAAAAAAAGGACATGCTCCAGTCTATTGGTGGGGAGCTTCGCCTGCTGGAAACGGGGCCAGCGTCCCTTCATCTATTTGTTTGTTTGTTTGTTTGTTTTTACATCACACTCTATGGATGTGTGTGATCGCTTCTCCATCACCCGTTCAGTTTTTTTTTTTTTTGCTTATCTTGTAGGTTCCCATCTTCGTAGAAACTCCACAAAAAAAAAAAAAAAAAAAAAAAAACAATCTTTGGCGAACCCTCAAGTGCACACACCAACCGTAGGCAAAAAAAAAAACCCACGATCCAAAGAAAAAAAAAAAAAAAAAAAAAAAAAAAATCTTCGTAGAAACCTAATAGTAGCAGGTCTTCAACGTACTTTTTTCCACACAAACATTGTCAAGAGCCTTTCGTCCTTTCCCAGTCCATGGAAAAAATCTTTCTTCTGGATGGGGGCGACCGGAACGCGCTTTCAGCTGCGTTGTCTACGCTTGCGCCAGCGCGAGTTACCGTGCTAGGGTAACTTGGCTAACCCTAACTTACTATCAGCGATGGCGAGTTAAGGGGAGCATCAACCTCTCATGGTAGCTCCATTTCGTTTGCTAGAAGTGGAGTAGGATGCGCGGCTTACCGGGGCAAAGTCCCAAAACAGAAATTACCAGATGCTACGTAGACAAGGCGAGCTCTTCTCGCCCTGTCTCCAGACCTTCACAGAAAAGTCGCCAGATACTCCGCTCTATTATGATTTCGCTTACCACGATCAGGATTACCGCAATAGGTTTTCTGGATCGCAGCCCATTCTGGAAATTTTTCCTTTCCATCACAACCTCTCTTGTTCTTTCCTATCTTTAACCAAGTAGACATCAATAATACCACCCCGTTGTCGCGGTTCGATACTTCATTCCTTTCCCTACTGAGGAATCTAGGGAACGTAAACAAGGAAAGGTTCTTTCTGTCCCACTTTCACCTTCCCAGGAAAGCGACACGATCGACCCCGGATTTCTTCCCGTAATCATTATCCCTAAATTCCTTTCATCATTCCTAATAGCTCCTCTCCTCCTGCACTCTCCCCCTAACCAATACGATGACGAGATCTACTCTCTCTCGCTAAACAAGAACCGTACAATCGTTACTCTCCCTACTTGAAGGCCAAGGTCCATCGAGCGGCGAACATCTTGGTATTCCCTTTCCTTTCTCCTGAGAGCAGATACAATGGACCAGGACGCAGAAGGGGGTGAACAGGACCAGGCGTCGAGCATCGATGGGGCAGAGGAACAACGTATCCAAACACTGCTCCAGCAGTGTTTTATTCAGGGCAATATTCCGGATCTGGACCAGTACCTGGAAGTGGACACGGAAGAGGACAGCATCAACGGCGTGGTTCATGAAGATTTCAACAAGATCCAGATTCAATGGCTAAAGGATCATACGGTGGTGTTCATTTTCGGAGGAAAAGCCAAGAACTTGGGAAACAAGGAGAAGTTACAATTTGTACGAAATTTAGAGGATGGACGATTGAGGCCGGAATTCAAAGCGTTGGGAAGGGGCTCCACTCACGTGGAGGGTAGATCAATGATTACGTACATTGCTAGGTCGATAGAGGCGAAAGAGTCAATGATGGGTAGGAAGCCGGAGATCAACTTCACTTTGGACAGACAGAAATACAAGGTAATTATTCGATTGTGGCTTCCTAAAAACGAATGGGAAACGGAAAGAGAGAGGGAGAGGGTGAAAAATTACTGGGTAATGGCGGTAAGGTTTCCTCTATACTCTCTTTCCTTCATTCGCACCATGGTGAAAAAGGCGATAGGACCCATCGTTAAGGAGTTTGAACCGGTGGAGGACGAATCGATGCCTCATTTGGTTAATGCTAAATTCGGTATCGATAGATCGCACGAGTCCAGATTTAAACCGGTCCTCACACTAAGAGTAGGCCTCGACACACTGTCTGCAGACCTGGTGGCCAATATCACACCTTGGTGCAGGACTTGCAGATGGTACGGTCACTACACCACGGAGTGTCCAGACAAAGAAGAAGAGTCGAAGGATCATGCCCCAAGGCGATCCGATCGCTCAACGAGGTTCCGCCAAGAGGAGGGTTCAAGCTGGAGACCAAGCGGACCAGTTTCAGAAGTTTCGGGTGGGGATCTTCGTGCTGGAGTTAACCCCATCCCACAACCAGGCCAGGCAACAAGGGGAGAGAACGGGAACCGACCCTCGGCACCAGGAGAGACACGCACAAGTCCACCAGTAGCTCAAGGTCATCCTACGACGACAGCGAATCACGCGACTCAGGGGCAGTTCCCTGTGCCGTTGCTACGACTAACCCCATCTGACCCAAACCCACTTGGAGAAGCAAGAGGGAGGGTCTCATATGGGGATAGGGAGGGGCAACAGGTGCCTCCAACATCGAATCCTGTCATGTGCGGGAGAAGAAATCCGCACTCCGCTACTGTCAATCAACACTAGAATACAGATACCACACCTCGCAAGGGGACAGACTCTAACAGAGGAAAGCACGCTAACAACACCGCCTACAATGTATCAGCTTCCTCATTAGCAGGCCGAGGCAGAGACTTTGGTTCTACACTCCTGGAAAAGCGGATGGCAAGCCAGGCAGCATCTACCTCTTCTCCAATAGTTCCCTCTCCCCTCTCCTCGAGAGGTAGAGGGAACGCTGGAGGGAGAGGGGGAAACATGAGAAGGAAGGTTAATGCTAAAATTAACATTACCATTCCTGAATCCCCCAGATCTCCAGGGATAGGAGCGACCTTAGTGGAAAACAATTTGCAAGTCTCACCGACAAAATTCAGCAGAAGAGAGCTACCTCCTACGACACCTGCGGATGGACAGCTGCATCAGGAGACAAGGGTATCCTCCATGGTCCAATCACTCGAACAAGGGATTCAGCAAGAGGTGTCCCTGGCGCAGGGACTGGGAAAACATCATCATCCACTACATACAGATGGAGGTCAAGCTGCACCCACTCCAATGACGTCCATCTCCAAAGAGCAGCATTCAAAGGAGGTAACCTTCACCAATCTCTTTTGCCCTATTATCCTAAGAGACAACGCCATCTCTGCTGAGTGGCTAACTCTCCCCAACCAGCAGGGACCCCTCAGACTACCTGTTTGGGAATTGGAAGACATCCCCTCCCCATCTGTAGCCTCCCAGTTGGTTGATGAATACCTCGCTGATAGGTATGAAACCAAATTGATAAGCGGCTATAGCATGTCACGACTGGGTCCGTTTTCCGGACACTCGGCTAAGATGACATTTGTTTTTGTCTATCTTATTAATGCYCGGCCCCTAAGGGCCCCGACTGTGGCAGATTTTGACGGGGGTCTCYATTGGCTCTCTACCGRTGTATTCAAATCTGCGAATATCAAAGATTTGCATATSATCATGATCTCTGACGAGATCAGGGGAKATACTCTGGCTCAGTTGAATACGCAGCTAACAGGGAATAAGAACTTATTCTCCAATTTCCTGTTGGACTCCCTCAGGAAACCGTGGGACTCAGACCTCATGATGGAAGRAGGAGTTGACGCTACAGGCCATGGTCAAGCGCCAATCCAGGCAAGGGCRCAATCCGAGGGCGTAAATGCCCATTAACAAAACGCRGTTAGTCACATGGAATGTTARAGGACTTGGAGATGACAACGGGAGACATAAGAAAGCAWGACTGAAAACATGGTTCCACCAAAAGAATATCCAGGTTGCCTTACTTCAAGAGACAAAGTTGAATGAAAGRAAAATTAGTGAGTTAGGTAATTGGTGGGGAGGCAAACAATGGTGGGCTCCTGCGSACGGAACAAAGGGMGGGGTAGCAATCCTATTTCATAGGAATTTCGACTRTATAGTTTTAGATTCCTTCTATGATTCATTAGGGAGATGGGTTTGGGTTAAAGTGCTTATTAATGAGGAAGAGTGRGCCTTCATGTCGATTYACGCACCGGTAGATCGCAAAGAAAGGYGGGATTTTTTTTCACAAATCCAAGGGTTTATCCCTGACGTAAGTAATTYAATTATAGGAGGGGATTGGAATTCCACGATAGACCCCACGCTAGMCTCCTCTAGTGGAGAAGGAAATTGGCAAGACTCCAGAAGGTTTAAGGACTTCATTCTCGACCAGGACTTCAAAGACGCATTCAKAAGTATATACCTCGATGCAAAGGAATATACTTGGGTCTYAGCATCCTCTTCGGACACCAATCCGGTAGCTAGGAAGAGGTTAGATTACTGGCTTATCAGGGAGCACAATTGGGATCTCGTTATGGATGTCACAATCCACTCGGATCCTTTATCAGACCACACACCAGTAACAATGGAAGTATCCCTAGGAGCCAAAGTGGCCACAGCAAGGGACCTTCCAAGGATACATGCACAGGTCCTGGATGATCCGGGCGTCAAAACCTGGGTCCAAGAATTCTGGAAGGATTGGGAAGAGGAGAAGTCTGTGTTTGACTCACAGGCAGAGTGGTATGACGCTGGTATTAGACAGACCACGAAGATGTTGGAATTCTTCAGTTTAGCTAAGGCTAGGGAAAGAAACGCCAAGGAAGCCGAGCTAAGAAAGAAAGTGGAGAAAGCAGAACAGAGAATGACACAGGAATCTTTCAACTTATCGTATTGGACAGAAGTAAGAGACCGATGTATGAGYCGCTGGGAAGATCATCAGATCAAACGGGAAGAAGAATGGCTTAAATACTCTGCAGTCAAGAAGATCCTGCACAACGACAGAATGTCGACRCAGTTTTTTCATAAAGCCACAKYYTGTAAAGGTAGTACTCAGATGAYAGAAATCTTCCACCCCTTTGATTCTTCCCTACCACCAGCCAAAGACACAGAGGAGATATGCTCCTACGTTAGGCTCTTTTATGAAAGACTACTATCAACGGAGAAAACTCCCGRGKAACCCTTGGTTCCACCTGAGGAGGAGGAGAAGYTGTGGGACCCRAACATGAAGAAGATCARCTCACCCCAAAGAGACCGACTGGACGAAAAGATCACACTAGAAGAACTCACTGGGGCTATGAACAGCATGRCACTGGGGAAATGCCCAGRCCCTGATGGTCTTYYTGTGGAATTCTTCAAAAAGTCTTGGGGTATTTTTGGCCCAATACTATTGGAGATTTTCAATAAGGTCATCGAGGGACATACCTTGGGTAAGGAGATGATGGAGGGAGCAATCACCTTCATCTATAAAAAGAATGAGAAACGAGATATAAGGAACTACCGGCCCATCACATTACTCAACGTTGGCGGGAAGATACTTGCAAAAGTTCTATCTCGTCGCATCTCAGAGCTATTACCTGAATTAGTTCACTCATACCAGTTTGGTTTCATTAAAGGCCGCCTAGTACTAGACAATGTCATGACCATAACACAGGCCATGGAGATTATAGAAAGCAGGAAATCTACAGAAGTCATTTTACTAATAGATTTTGAGAAGGCCTATGATAGGGTCAACTGGGATTTTGTGATTCAGGTACTGGAACATAGGGGATTTGGACCGGTTTTCTGCAATTGGGTAAGGAAGCTATACCACGACTCGATTGCATCAGTAGTGGTCAATGGTAAGAAATCATCTCCTTTCGTTTTATCAAGGTCTCTCAGACAAGGGTGTCCGCTGGCACCACTCCTCTATGTACTACAACAAGAGGTTCTACTGGACCTGATCCGCAATTCTCGAGCCAATGGCCTACAGATCACACCCGACTATCAGCTAAAGTCATCGGCCCTGGCTAAGGATTTGGCAGTAGTATCAGAAAACTCTACGCATTCGCTAGAGGCGGTTAAAGAATCACTGGAGTTGTTTAGCAAAGCCTCAAAGGCAAAGGTGAGCTGGGTAAAATCTGTCGCACTCACTAGAGACAACACACCGTTAGCAGTAGATCTGGGTATGCAGATCAAGGACAGGGATCACTCAGAACGATTCCTGGGAATAGAAGTTTCGTATGGGAATAATGAGAGAAAGCAGGGTAGGATCATTGAAGACCGCGTGGTGAACAGACTCACGACGTGGTCCAAAGTATGGTTTGTCTCCCTGTTCGGCCGAGCCATAGTAATAAACACTATGGTCCTCTCTACGATCTGGTACATATTGTCTATCAAACCTATCCCTACGAACACCGAACAACTACTCAGACAGCGGACTGCTACTTACCTCTGGAAAGGTATGATAGACAACGGTAGAGCCTTACCGAAAGTCGCCTGGTGGAAGATCACTCAGAAAAGGAACGAGGGAGGTCTAGGTCTGCTAGACTCTCTCAGAACAAGGCTCTGCTGATAAAGTGGATTGTCAGACTCTTGGTTTTGGATACTAACCGCCCCTGGATCAGACTAGCCCAGCAGATTCTCATGGAAGAATGGGGGTTGTCGGAGCGAGAAAGTGTATGGGCATGTTTGTTCATGAAAGGTTTTTTGAGAATGAGGGTGAAATCTCGGACGTGGGCTCCAATTCTGAAGGCATGGTGTAATCTGCTCCCTTCTGTCATTCACTGGCCTACGATCGCTGAAGAAGTTCTGTGTCAGAATCTGTTTGATAACTCGGCAATTAGAGGTACCTCAGGCAATAGTATTATAATCACAGCTAACTCATTTGGCAAGACTTGGGTATGTAGGGGCATCTTTCAGATAAGACATATTTGGGATACGGAGAATAGAGAGTGGAAACAAGTATCTGAGATTCAGAGGAAATTGGGCCAACTTCCTAATATGCAAGCTAACTGGAGCCTAATCATAGAGGCCATACCACAGTCATGGAAGTCACTTCTGTCTTCCAATGGACTGGCCAAAGGTACATGGATCGCTGCAAGGGAAAAAGAAGCCGACATTCATCAAGTCATCGAGGTGCTGCCGATTGACAAATGCAAAACGGTGTTCTGAAAAATGGATTACAGAGGGAAGCTATCGAAGGGAGAGGACAATCCATCAGAAATCTACAGAGAAGAGTACACCCAAGTTCTGGTCAAAGAAGAAACGCGAATATTTAACGGCAGGCAACAGTTGGTCCTGACTCTCTGCTTGGAAGGCACTGCCCTATTGCAGACCAAGGTTCATCCCTTAGCCATTGGGTGGAAATCTGCTTCAAGAGAAAGGAAGGATGTCCCACTGATTGAGTACCAAGTATAAGTGGGGTACAGGATACAGTCCAAAGCAAGCAGGTTACTCTACACTGTCAAGGCGAACTGGGACAATTTCGCAGCAGCAGAAGGAATGACGTCTCAACATTTTGAGCTCTGCTGCAACTTTGGTAAATCCCTCAGAGCACTTCCGGCTGTCAAACACGCAAGCCTTCTAAATAATCAGGTTGCTTCTTCTTTCCTCCAAGAGAACAGAGAAGACTAGCGAGTTTTGTCTGGGTAGGAATGGCCCAGCAGAATGGGAGACTCCATTTAGATTTGAAATTGCGAACCTTATACGCTAAACTAGCCTTAGAATTGCAGATTCTACGCCAATCTGCCAGTATAATTTCTCTGAGACCCTGAAGCATTAGAAATTGCAGTTTTGGACCTCGAGTGGAAGATGAGCCAAACCT